ACATTAAAAGTTCTGAAAAAAAATTTTTTCAGAGTCATTTTGCTGTTTAACAAATGTTTTTTTTTTTGGTGCATTTGTGTTTGAGTTTTTTTGAAAGAATTACAGCAAATCAGGTTGAGTATTTAAAATCTTTGTCACTTTTATCTTTATGGATATAAATTCGAAACAACAATGTGACTACAGCTTTATGGTCATAGTCCTTCCAAACCTATAGGACTTAAAAAATGTAGCATTTCTAACCTTTATCTTAATTAAATGATTATTAAGCAGATGACTTGATTATCTTCTTGATGAAAGGGGCCTACAAATGTAATGTGTCTATAAATCCTCCACATGAAACTAACTGTATAACTAGAATAAGGAAATTGTCTTTTATGGCCTGTTTGTTTTTTGTTTAATTAGACATTTTTGAGCCTGAAAATAATTTATTGTCATTATAGTTTTGGAATATCCTAGATCAGTGGTTCTCAACTCTGGTTCTAGGTGTCTCTTTGCTGCCACACATCTGATTTAGTTTGTTTTTCTTTGTTTTGTTTTTTTTTCTCAATTCGGTGAACACATTTCATTCAAGTTTGCAGCAACAGAATTACATCTCAAACATGCAGTGGTCCATGAGGACCAGAATAAGAACCAGTGCCAAACATTCATATTTTTAGCTAACAACGTCTTTCTGCTTCCTCCTGTTATTTTCTTCAAAGTTTACCATTACTATAGTTAAAGTATCGTCAAGGAGATGCCAGAGAACGTTTTGGAGTTTCCTGACTTTTCCCTAGCTGTATGCATCATAGAGTATATCCCACTTGTTGCTGTGCACTTGCTGTAAGTTGATTGAAAGATGACTTATAAAATGTCAACATACTTTGTTAAACTTGCAGTGAAGAGGAATTTTACTTCCTGGAATATTTCCAGTAAAAAAAAAAAAAAAACAATGTTCAGGCATGGATGTCACTCTAATCTAGGCAACTGTGTTTTAAAACCACATCCAGCAAGCTACCATGCTGGATAATGTAAAATTATTTTTGTTTTTTGAATTCAGATAAATATGTTTTTCTGGTTAAGTTGCTTTGATGCAGCAAATGATTTCCCCTTTATTGATATAACTGCTGAGTCGTAAATCCTCTTATTTTTCTTTCAGATTCCCCTGAAATGTCTTGTTTTCTGTTGTAAAGCACAGACACTCCTCTAATGTGTGACACGCGGAGACATACTGGTGTAACTTTGATCTGCTCAGGTGACCTGAATCACCCGTTCTCTCAGAAGGGACATTCTGAGCCTGGGAAAGGGTCTCCTGTGTTCCCCTGATCCTCTGCTTGTCTGATACCAAACTGTCGAAGGGGGAACAACTGATACCAGCTTGGATAGTCCCGGCTGCAGCCTGGCACCCTGCCCTTATGGGGCAGCAGCCGGGGAAATTTGTAGGGGACCAGAGGAGACCCAGTTTGCCTGCTTTCATCAAGGGGGGAAAGAGAGACTCAACACGCCATGTGAGCCAGCCCTGCAATGTTTTCGATAGACACGGTAAGATCAGAACATTATACAAGAGTCTAAAGCCTGAAATTGTTTGCAAACATAAACATCCAGTCGATGTCTGTAAGTTTTATGCTTCACGTTTGCATAAGTCTACAGTCACATACTTAAACAGCAAACTGTTTTATAATGACACAATTGACTATCCTTGCACATTTTGTTTGCAGTTACTGTGATATCTCACCAAAACAGATCCAGCATTGTGGGGGACCATATATGATCATTTTTGTAACGGCATTCCCACATGGAAACCTTTCAAACTTAGTGTGTACATGCAAACCGTGTCTTTGTTTTTAAACAGTGACGTCATAGCTCCAGCTGTAGCATTCGCCTCTTTGCCGCCATGTTGCACTGTTTACCTTGTATTAGCTGTCTGCACGTGCCTGATGTTTTTGTCAGAGGTTTTAGTGTGGTTTCAGTGTCACCAAAGGGCCAGGCTTATGTGTTACAGCATCTTTAGTTGTGTTTAGTTGTTGCAATTATTTCCTAACCGATAATTAAAATATAAATTTTTTCATGTTAGTGTAGAATAGGCCTAATGCTGATGAGGATTCTCAGTCATCCAGGTCATAGTCATTCCCTAAAATTTAAAAAAACAATCCACTGGACTTGTTTTCCAAGATTTGAAGACGTTTCGCTACCCCTCCAGGAAGCTTTCTCAATTCAAATATCTGGCCTAAATAGCCTGAATAGGCCTAAAGTTTTGCACCCAGATAATAAGAATCCACTCAGGCCACATTTATATACAGATTCATGGTGGTGAAAAGATAGAAAATTGGCGTTCTGGCTGCCATGACCAAGTTTGATATGAGTCGCATCTGCCTGCGATGTGACTGGAGCGTTAGTTCCATTGTACCTTGACTTGATGCACACAAGTTATATTTAGATTTAGGCTTGAATGAAGAACATTTTTAATCAGAAGAAAGGTTTAGCTAATTTTATTATCTTAAGTTTTAAAGCAAATATTGCAAATTTAGAGTTGTGCGCTGAAATGTTTCCCTCCTTTTGGTCGTCCATTGATTTTCTTATGTTTACTTTTGATGCATTATTTTAGTTTCTGAAAGACAAACTGTTTTTAGTTTAGTTTTTAGTAAATTTAATAAAATAATTCAACAAACATATCGCAATAACAGGTTTTCTCATCATTGTGCAGCCCACAGTATTATTTGAGTGACACATCTAACCTCAGTTTGCAGCCAAGAGCACAATTAAGCTGCTAAAATAACTTCCATGGGTTAATAAAGGTAGCAAACCTTATTCTTTTTCTGTTGAAACCTGACACTAAGATCCTCCTGAAGAGCAATAGAAGTGTAAGTCACGTATAACTAGGGCTGAGAGACGTTAAATCTGCAATAAATGTATGTTATGATTCAATGAATTACCCCAGTTCTGCTACAGTCAGCTGCCTAACTTCACTCCCGTCAGTGTTTTGTTTGAGTGATTTATTTTATAGTTTTCTATTGCATTCGCAGAGTCTCTTTAACCTTGAAGTACTGCTTTCCCATATTATCAGCTTTTCATATTTAGTGACACAGCAGGCTTAAAGCCTCAGTGTGCCCTGCAAAGCTATAAAATGATGCCAAACATTTTAAATCTTACCTGGAGATGATATTAGTTAAATTTGTTTGGATGTTTTACTATAAGCCCTTTTGTTAGAGCTTCAGTGTTATTTCTGTTATAATGCTTATTTTTTTAAAGCTGGGAGGGTATAGCAAGCAGACAGTAAGGTTACAGCTATTCCTTCACTCTCCAATAAATTCACTGAAGACTGTCGTTTATAATTCATCCTTGATTAAAGATGACTAAAGATAATATCCGCTGCAATAGGGTTTCACTTCTAATTAGAATTTTTCCATTTTTTAAAATTAAGTAATTAGTTGATTGTTGTACCTGTCAAACTGATGTTTATATAAATGTATAGATCAATTTAAATTTTCATCAGCATGTGCTAACAAATTTTGGCTGGAGGAGGTGGACGGTAAAACTTGTCTGAGCGGTCTATTATGTCATGACTTGTGGAGAGCATGCTTTACAGATCCGCTAAAAACGAGCCCTGTAAAAATCTGACAAGTAATAGCACAGCCTTGCTCAGGAACTGTTCAATGTTTGGACTATATAGTTGGACTGCTTGTGAGTGTGGCATCTCATGGATGCATTGGCTGCTGCATGTAGGGGTGCAGAAAACAAGTGAGCAACTGGCTTGAAACTTATTTGCCTAACTGTCTTCAGGTCATAAACGGTCAAAGAACGATTGAATAGATACTCTACTTTGCCAAAGGCATTTGTTCAGCCATCCAAACAATTAAAATCGGCAGTAGAGCTGAGTGGTATGGCCTAAAAATAAAATCTCTTATTCTTTTTATTTTAATTCAATTAGCAATTTTTTTTTTCAGATCCCCCCCAATCATAGCAGTCAGTTTTCCCCGGTGTTGCTATGAGACCCATGTTGACATGTTTATTTTCCCCTCCCGACAAAAAAAAACAAACAAAACCACCTGCAGTTGCCGCACTCCGGAAAACCGCAACAACGGCGAAGAACTTTGAGCTCTGAAATTCCAAACAACAGATAATTTTATTCCTTTTTTTGAGAACAAACCTCTCACTCACCTGTAGTTACGATGTAATTTCCTGTTTCGTGTGACGCTGTCGCTTTCCAAACTGCAGCCTGAGAGTAACACTGCAGCGACAGAAACTCCGGGGAAACAAAAAAAATCTATTAAAATTTTTTTTTTATTACAAAAAATCAAAATGAATTCATTGAATTGTTTTTTTTTTTTTTCTGGGCCTTAGTACAGACTGTTTTGACAAATATTTGTGAAAGAACGTGTCACTGTGCAACAAGTTCAGTCCATCATGAACTTTTAGTGCTTTGTTAGTAGATTACATAAAAGAAGCATAGTGTGCAGAGGTCAATCACTTTATGCAATGTCAATTGCTGCATATTTTCAAACTTTATATAGCAGTCAAGTTTGCCTGTACACCAGTTTGTGGAGAGTTTCATGGAATGGGTTTTAAAGGCTGAACAGCTGCATCCAGGCCATACTTCCCAGAGTGCAATGCAAAAGTTCGGGTGCAGTTGTTTAAAGTAAGCCGTTACTGGACTAGAGAAAAGGAGGCACATTCTCTGCACTGATAAATCATGCTTACCTATCGGACAATCTGATTGTAGAGTGAGTCTGGATTTGGAGGTTGCCAGGCAACGGTGCTGGTCTGACTGTATTGGGTCAAGTGTAAAGTCTGGTGGATTTGGGATGATGTGGGGTTATTTTCAGGAGCTAGACTTGGCATTTTAGTTTAAGTGAAAAGACTTCCAAGAGATTTCGTACCATGCTCCAACCATTTTCAGGACAAAAGATTTGGATACAGCCTCCTTTAAAATGACACAAAGCAAAGTGCATAAAGACATAAGGTAGGTGAGGCTGAGCTTTATTGGCCCTCTCAGAGTCTGGACCTCAGCTTGATGGAACATATTTGGGATGAAATTGTATGATAACCTGAGTGTCAGGCCTTCTTGTTCATCAGTCCATGACTTTAAAAAATGTTTTTTTTTTGGAGGAAAAAAAAAAGCATCATAAACATGTCTAAACATTGTGGATAGGCACTCCAGAAGAGTTAAAGCTGTTTAAATTTAAATTTAAAAGCAGATTGACCCCTATGGATTATGAATGGGATTCCCCTTAAGTTCATATGCAAGTCAAGGCATGTGAGCAAATACTTTTAGCAGTATAGTGTACATATGTGCTATGCCAGGCATTTCTGAAATTGCTGTTCTTAGATGTTTTGTTCAGATCTACAATAACTTCCCTCCTTTTCCAAATTCAAAGATATATTCCTTTATAAATAACCCTTACGTCAATTAAATAATTTAGATATCAATTTATAAAAACAAACTCCTCCCATCATATATTTTATTTTATAGATATGGAAAGTTGTCAAGAGTCAAGATGTGAAGATATAGAATAGAATCAAAAGGTTTTTCTTGTTTTTCTTTTCACCATCTGGAGAAGAGGAATTTTAATGTGTCCATCCTGAACGGTTGCTTTTTTTCTCATTGATGATCTAAAACCTTTTCCTGTCTGATAACATCTTAGCATCATTTCAAAATGTTAGAATTTCTCCTCAGTTGAACGGGACACTGCTAGTGTTGCCATTGACAGATTTAGTTCAATTCAGAATCACTGTATTAATCCCAAAGGGAAATTAAATGATGTAATTCCCTCCTCCGCTTTTTTCCATAGGTGTTATAGATCTTAATAGCAATGGGCAGGAAGCAGGTAGCAGTTTGTTTTGTACCAGATCTGAAGAAGCCTCTGATGAAAGACACTTTTTGTTTAACAGGCTTCTTTTGTGTAACTTTTTGTTTAACAGGCTTCTGAAGAGGATGTTTGCAGCTGTCCATAATGTTCTTCATTTTCTGAACAATTATTCTTTGTGAAATCTTATTCAGACGTTCCTGAGGAGTTCCTAGAACAGAGCTGGGTTTCTTTTTAAGCTTGTTAAGCTTTTTTAAGTCATTGTCTTTAATGCTGTTACCCCAAATGATAGCAGAAGAGATCATAACATGTTTATAGAAAATATTCAGCATCTTAGGGCAAACACTGAAGGACTCATAAACCCCATTTACACTACCCTTGAAAAACCGATCCATGCCGAGACCGGTCCGAGCTCGGATCAGTTAACCAGGCCGAGCTAGGTTCTGACGACCATTTACACATCACGCTATCTCGGTTCCGAGACTCCTCGCCTCCTAGTGATGATCTGCGGTATTACTGCCAGTATTGAAGGAGGAAATCAAGCAGTTGGTGGCGGTAATGCACCAAAAGTTGTTTGCCAACCACCATAAAACACAAGAAGAAGAAGACGAAGAAGGAGGGAATCAAGCAAATCAAAACTGTGGCGCCCGTCACATTCAGAAAGTTATGCTGGATTATTATTGCTGTACTTCGGTGTTTGCGGAGGGTCAGGCGAAGACGGCAACCTTTCGTGGATGT